TCAGTTTTGAATGATCAATCAACAAAATGATACAAAAACCATTTAATCAGTATCCCAAATTCATCTACCATTTTTATAAAAAGTATTTTTATAAAAGCATAAAGAGCACATTAAGGTTAACGTGATGATTCATATATTTTGATTAATTTTCTTTTTTTGTCCTTGGGTCCCATACTTTTTTCATGAGGAAGATTTGTTCAAATAATATCCAAAAAATGTTTTTGACCCTATGACAAAATCATTTCTCCTGTATAGAATTTCTGCATTTACTATTTTTGATTTAAAGGGAAGTACTGTAACTATATCTCTGACCAAATATCCCATTTTTAGTTTTCTTCCGCTATTTAAAAGAGCTTGGAGAAGTTCTGTACCTTTGCATCATAATTTAAATAAGGACAAAATGTCTGTTACATGAGAAGAAACGAATATGCTGACAGGTTTGTAGTGCTCCTGTGCTATCTACTGTATGTATCCATTATGTACAGTAACCCTTATTAGAGGAACTAACCGCTGTGGTTTAGTCATACTCTTTCTAGAAGTGTTCTGAATTATTGTTTATTGAAATTAAAATGACTGTTATAGTTGTCCAGCTTTGTTTATGATACAGCAAGACAACATGCCTTCTCATTTTTAGCAAACCACAAATTTTTACACCTTAACCTTGAGGAGAAAAAGGAATTTGTACCTCTTCAAATAAAAACTGTAGATGCAGCTAAGCTACAGAAATAATGGCGTGTTTTCTATAGGAAGAAAATACATTAATTATTTACCTGGTTTCTACTTGAACCAGTTTCAACATTTAATATTTCTTACTTTGCGTTTCTTCACAGTGTAATTGAACTTATTTATTGAGTGAAAAAATAGATTTTAGTTGTTTGACACTGAATTTGGCCCCCTTTTTCTTATTAGTTATGGTTTTTTATATTTTTTCGACAAAATAACATTACTTTAAATAATTTAAAAGTATTTTTTAAAGAACTAAGGTCAGTTTTAGGTTTAATATTTTGATTCTATGGTGTTACTGTACCAAATTTGCTCACAGGTATATACAGTCAATAAGGTGAACTTGGAAAAAGCTCATATTAATGTGTGGATTCTGCAAATTATTTCTGCTAAATAAAACTTGTTATACAGTAAACGCTGTTTGTCACAATTATAGGTATCTCCCACCCAGGGCCTGGAGAACTACAGTGACTTCTGCTTTTATTCCAGCTTAGCCTTCAGCAACTACATATAACCCTCTAGTAAGGCAAAAGTAATGTGTTTTCAATCCACTACCAGAAGATGTCTGTTAGAATCTCTAGCATCAAAGTTAGTGCCCATTGTTTATGAAGTAATCAATGTGAGACTTGGTCATATTTTAGGAAATTATTTAAATGCAGACTGCATAAATATTCACTCTAACATTAACCTTAAACTAAGCCCTAAAATATGCTTTGACCTCTGCTGTAAAAGTTGTTGTGGATCATGAACACTTACTGTTATGTGTTTCGGTGCAAGGCTTCTGTATATACATCATGTACAGTAGATGTTCAGCTGGTTAAGTAACTGCATTTAAACAAACCATGGCTTTATTTTGTTTAATCAAACACTACCTGCTAATTGGTCTTGGAGTGTACTTAAGGATGTCTTTTGCTCTTTCAGGTTTCAATTCTTAACTCCAAGAAGAGCATGAACATTGGGATCTTCCTAAAGCAGTTTAAAAGGTGAGCTGCAGGGCAGTGACAGGAGGCACACAGGCTACAGAACATGCATCAGTCTGCCTTATCCTCTTTCCTGAGGGTGCAGAGACAGCTCTCTTTACAAAAGCAGTTATGCTAGAAAAGCTCTGAGTAGTAGACATGCCGCAAACAAGTTGTGACAAAAATACAGAACAGGTAATTCTGCTAGTTTTTCAATGAACACAAGCCTTGAGACATGTTTGAAAATCGCTCACATTCTTTAATCTCTGTCTTGCAGAAGTACAGTATTAACAGACTTAGTCTGTTAACCTGTGTGTACGTTCACTGTTTTTATCATCATCTCCTCAGGGCAAATCCTTAAGCAACAGCTCTTGCTTAGGAACAAGTAATAGATTTATTCCATGCTGAAAAAAAAGAAGAAAGAGAACACGTCAGGGCTGTGAGGATTAAAGATCTCTCCAAGCCCATTGTTTCTCATTCCACCTCTGACGGCCACGACCACTCTAATCTCTCCATCTGTGTTCTCAAAGACGGTTTTCCGAACTCATACATCAGAAAGACCACCGAAACTAAAATTATTCTGCAGCTAGAATTGCACATTCTCCCTTCCCTTAACGACAGACTACTGTTCTTTTAAATTTTCTCCATTCGTTGGAAGTTTCATTTCACACCTCTCGGCACCCATTCCGACTTCACACCTCTTGATTGGCCTCTCTTTCTGTCCCCTGCTCCCGCCTCTCACTCCTCCTCCCTCCCAACCTTTGTTCTCCCGCTACTTTACCTTTGCCTACTGGCCTGTCTCTCTCACACCTGAAGAAGGCTCCACGGCCGAAACGTTGTGTTCTCTTTCTTCTTTTTTTCAGCATGGAATAAACCTATTACTTGTTCCTTTGCAGCCTACGCATGCTGATGCAGCTACCCACCTGAAGCTCTTGCTTATGTTTATGTTTTGTCATAGTAATATTAAAACACATGTAATGAAAAGTTTCAGTTTCCAAGGATGAACATTAAACTTGACTTGCACAACAGAAGAGGATTGCAGTCAGTAATTGACACTGAGATGACAAAAAGTGTGCATTCCAGGTCAGAGAAGAAACCACACTAAAAGCAAATTTTAAAAGGAGGGACAGGCAGAGTTCATTTAAAGAAAAAATCACTGCAAACCAATTCTAAATGCTGTCAATAACTCTCAGCAGGCACTTTATGCAAAAGCAAACAAAATAATGTGAAGTAAAATTATTTTAAGAAAAAATCAGCAGGAAATCTGAATATAGTTGAACCATATATCCAGATTACAGAGGGATATTTTGGACTATTATCCTTAGTCGGGTTTCACCTACAGTAGAAGCAGCTCACAGCTGGCTGACCATTGGAAACTGTACATGCTGTACTGTAGTCTTTGACCCCTCACCTAGGGTCTTAGAGGGGTCATATGGTGAGTTGAATCAAATTATTAATAGGGGTTTAGCAAAGTAGGAATTATAAAAAGATTTGGCGGGTTTGGCGACAGCCTCCACAGATTTCACAGTTTCAGAAAGGCCAGGATTGCAATGTCTTCTAGCAGTGTGGGTTACCTAGGCAGATGAGTCAGAAGAAATGGGTGATTTGCATGAAAGAACTGCAGCAGGGAAATATTTTTTACAGAGGTTGTGGTTTGCTCTAGGGAGATGAGTATGTTGCAAGCAGGGCGATGTTACAGGAATGGGATCAAATCCCCATGAGTAATTGGGAATAAAGCATTTTTTTCACAAGCTGCTTCCTGTGCCGAAATATAGTTTCAGGGCTGAAGAACACCTGATGTATGTGGAAACAAACATGATTCTGAAGAGCAATTACATAGTAAATTATTTAACCAGCAGGTACCTGGTCATGAATGTGAATAAGAAAGACCATCCCTCTTACTTACTGTATATCAATAATCTAGAGTTTGATGACTAGTTAGTAAAAGTAGTCATGTTTACTACAGCAAGCACTGTGCAAGCTTTAAACCAAATTCAAAAAGATTTAAATAAAATTCCAGACTGGGCAAACACCTCGAAGATGACATTTAATATTGTTACAGTATATTAAGTTTAAGGTTTTACATGTAGGAAAAACAAACTTAAAATGCAAACAAAATGATGGGATATATAGCTTAAAGTGTAGAACTTCAATGAAGGGATAATAAATTCAGAACCTAAAAATAGTGGTGAAACCTCATTTCGAACGAATATTATGTATACTTTTATTCAGCGTGTTGTATAAAAGATATAGCTGTTCTACAATCAGTCCAGAGAACAGTCACCAGGGACACTTCAGGGCTAAAGAATGTATCCTGCACTGACAGGTTCAGCTTCTTCAGCCCTTTTAATCTTGATCAAGTAAGATTATGACGGGATCCAATTCCATCCATCTATCCATTTTCTAAGCGCCTCTCAAAAATCAGGGTTGCATGAGGGTCGGCACATGTGCCAGCAAGCAACAAGTGCAAGGCAGGGTACACCCTGGACACAGTGGGATCTTTTTACAAGTATTCAAAAACCTCGAAGGCACTGACATATTAAATGCAGTGGACTTCGGATTCAACACTGAAACAGGGTCTTGAGAAGTAGAAACTCTGTGGTGAAACATTTAAACCTCAAAGAGAATTTGGAGTGTGGAACAATCTACCCAGCCATGTGCCATGCCCTGGCTTCCTTTACAAAACAGCTGGATTGAATCCTGGGATCAATGAACTACTAACTGCTTAACGTGTTAGAAAGGCTGAATGACCTCTAATTTATTTTCTCTCAATAGTAATGTGTGTACTTCCTATACAGGCCTATCCAGGAGATTATAGAAGATATCAGGCAAGGCCACGGTGCAAAATACGGAGCAGGAAAACTACAGGAGCTCCGTAAACTCCTGCCTGAGGATGGAGAAGTAGGTCGACATTGTACTGTATGAAACAAGATTTCATAGATGTAAAATCCAGCTATTTTAATTTGGCCAAGGGGAACCCCAAGAATACAAATGAATGGGATTCCTTGTTTGTAGAAATAGAAGGAGTGTTATATAAGTAATGACAAAATCCTTTCAGGTGAAGAAGCTGCGTGCATTTGATGGTGACCAGACACAGCTTTCAGAAGCCGATCTGTTCATGGTGCAGTTAGTGCGGCTTTCCAGGTTAGTATCTCCTTTTGGTTCCCATTGCCCTGTACCAGTGTACAATTTGTTTACTTTAGCCTGCATTGGGAATTAAGTGACAAATAAGCCTTTGTCACAATGTATATTAATTCTTCAAAAGGGTGTCTTTGTCTGTCTGAAAGATATTGTAAGCTCATACAGTATTTGTAGTTTTCACAGATTCAAATTCAAAGAATTACTGGTAACCCATTTAATATTGAATTCTCTTGCTGTTAGTGCTTTTATTTTCAGTGAACGTTCAAGGGTATAAATATTGCATTGTGTCCAAATAATGTATTGTTCTTTTCAATGTTAAGATCACTTTATCACTTTATTGGCCATATAGAATTTCTTGTATTAGGAATTTGTCTTTTCACATACCCCAGCTTGCTCTTCATGAGACACACAGACAGAGAGAGAAGCTTGGGGTCAAAGCGCAGGGTCAGCCATTTATACGGCACCCCTGGAGCAGTTGGGAATAAGGGCCTTGCTCAGGGGCCCAGTGGGGTAGGATTCCTCTGCCGGCCGTGGGATACAAACCGGCAACCTTCCAGCCACAAGCACAGATACTTAGCCACAGAGCCACCACACCACCTTCTTAAGCACCTTCTTTTCTAATATGGTTATTTTGAAAAACAAAAATATGAAATGGTCAGTGCATAGATTTCATCTTGACATTTTTTTATATTCTATGCATCTGTCCACAGCTATCAGGAGCGCCTTCAGAGTCTAGTCCTGCGAGAGGAATTTTCCCCCTTCATACTCTCTATGAAACAGTCCATTTCTACCATGACCAAAGCATCCACAGGTAACCTCTTATCTCCATCTGTTATGCATCTCAAATGCATCTTGATCAATTATTTAGGAAAATTGTTTTTAATACTTTTAGACATGTGCTTTCTGACATGGCTTGTACTGATCTTGCTCTGCTTTTGCTCAGTTTACTGCACGAGTTATTTGAGATTCTTTGTTTCATAGTCTTTGTATACTTGACTTTATAATTTTCTGTAGTATTAAATGTTAAGGTTATGAATGACCTACAGTACTGTACATGTCTGAGCAACATTAGGAGATCATTTAATCCAACTGGCTCATTTAATGATCCAAGGGTCTTATCCTGTTCTTGAAAGAAGCCAGGGTATTGGCTTCAACAGCATGGCTGATCATCTTGTTCTTCTTTGGTTATTGATTATACATGCAAATACATAGCTGAGTAAAGTTTGTAAACCCATTAGATTGATCTGTATGCTCATATTGTAGACATAAAACATAATGAGGTCATCATAAAAGTCTTAATAAAAGACTAAGATAACTTGATTAAATATTTAACAAAAAGAGACGTTTTTTAATCATTAAATTAACAAAATGTTTCAACACTAAATATCCTTGTTACAATGCTGAATTCATAGTTCTGTCAAGCTGTCTAGGTCCAGAACTTCAAACCATTATGTTTGACTTGGTTTTCATCACACAGTATGTTTCTCATTGCAGTCTAAGATTCTAGTTTTGTGGATCATTCAGGTGATCTCTGGCAAGCCTGAGATGGGTGGCAGGTTTTTTTTCCAAATTTTGTGGCTGTATTCTTATTAAAGTATTCCTGTTCATTCTTTCCTGATGTTTGAGGTATGAACATTGACATAAGATTTTGGGTTTTCCATTTGTTTTATGACACTCTCCAGACTGAGCATCAACCACTCATCCAAATCAGTCTTTGTTTACTTATTACCCAATTATTGAAACACTTAATTCTAATTACTTCCTTTATTGTGCTACGTAGACTAGAGGTTCACTGATTTCACACACACTGATTCTTAATTATTCTTTTTTTCTGGCCTCTCCGTTAGGCCAGAAATAATGATTTATTGTTATTCATCAAGAAAACCTACTCTACTGAATGTCATTCACTACTCTGAAGGTTAATCTGACACATGCATTCAAGTAATACTTTTTTATATGGGTTTTTCAAATCTAGTCTTGCAAAATATCTGTATCTTTTCTTTCTCTCTGATTTTGCTCTTCATAATCTTTTTACATTTAGAAAATAATGCAGAAAATGGTTTTTCAAGAATTGGCTCTGATCATCTTACCCCCTTTTAAATTTTGCCTCTTCTCTCTTCAGAGCTCATGGAGTGTGAAAACCTACACACAGTAATTCGTCTGGTTCTGAAGACGGGCAACTACATGAATGCTGTGAGTGCAGAGACTGAAGTTCAGGGATTGATCCTACAGTAAATGTCTCAGCACACAACTCTTACGAAAATCTTGTATTTCCAGCATAAACAAGAGATAGAGAATTCTAGTGAGTCTTGATGCCTGAAGCATTTTAAAATGATGACTTTTTTAATAGTACAGAATAGTTCTCCATTAAATCTCTCCAAATTAAAATTTGACTTTGTGAGGATAGCTTTTGATAAAGCGAGCTTTCTGTCTCTTTTATTGATGCGTCTGTTCTGTTTGTCTTCCCTGTGTTGCCTCTGTCTGTGTGGGTATGGATGTCGGGTTGTATAGGGTGGCTATGCTGGCAGTGCTGTAGGATTCCGCATGACATCCCTTCTGAAGCTTGTGGACACAAAGGCAAACAAACCTGGAATGAACCTAATGCACTATGTAGTGATGGTAAGACAGAATCTGGGTTATACATTGCCCTTTAGCTATATTGAAAGTCTTTAATAACACAACAAATTACTTGTAACTCCTAGAATCCCTAGTAGTTTTAGTCTCTGTAGGTGTTCCCTGTTTCCTAACACTTTATTTTCTCATATACTTGTCTAGATGTATTAAAACAAATTTGTTTTCCTGTTTAGTGGTGATTTCTTGAAATGTTAGGAACTGGGGTTGATCTTTTCTTATTTTAGGTGAATATTGTTCATGTTGCAGAGAATAATAGTCAGGAAGATGCCTAGGCTTGGCAAACAAAAAAAAAACATTTTTCCATATGCATTTGATTGTATAATTTTCTTTTTGTTCTTTTACGTGGTCACAGCAAGCAAAGGAGATCGATGCAACTCTGCTAAAATTCCCCGAACAGCTCCAACACATTGGACCAGCATCTAGGTGAGGAAATGCACTGATATCTTCCAGAAAAAGGATCCAGAGATCTTTAAAGGGACAATATTGAAAATATCATAGGTAGAAGGCTTCTTTTAGCAATTAAAGAAAAGAAGATCTGTGGTAGTTGTACATTTCCTCTCTGCTACAGAATCTAGACATCTAGAAAATGAATTTACTTTTACTGCAAATAAACTGATTGGAAGTTTTTTTTTTTTCAAGTTTGATTAACATTTCCAAGTAATGTTGGTATTTGGACCTGGAAAGTGTAGAATTCCCTACACTGTATCTTTTGTTTATGCATAGGATTCTGAAACAGGAAGTAGAGGCAGAATTTCAAAAGGAAAAGAAGAAAGTGGCAGAAGTCAAGACAAATGTTACCAAACAAGATGATCTGAGAGAGCAGATGGAGTCCTTCCTGCAGGTGAATTCTCTCTATACTTCTCCACTCCAGAGAGTTTGTTAATTAGTATCTATTACAGGACTATAGTTGCAGTTTTTGTTAATTTGGCAGCATAGTAGATCAGGATGTGATTAAAGCCTTAAGAATTATTTCCAAACACGCCATACATAAATGCACAATATAAAATCAAAAGTACTGTAATGTACACTCCAGATGGGTATTACAGTATACTCTATTATCCCTGTCAGTTCTGAGCATCTCCATCATGCTCAAAATGCTTCAGTGTAAAAGATGAATGGCCTTAAATGGAGATGATCTTTTGAGTACTTTTTAAGGAAGCAATACAGTATATTTGTTCACAGTAATATGTGCAAGTGAGGTGTGGGTGGTGTCACTCAAAAAAACCTTTGAGATCATAATCTAATATCTTTCCAGTGATGGAATTTGTAAACCAACATCTGTTGCTGAACATGTGAAGAACAAAGTTAAATATTTCCAAAATTCAGCAACCAATGTTAGTAGCATGAGAAACATTCTTCAGAGGTGAGATTCCTGCCAAATGTTGGCTTTCAGCCTATGGGATACTGAACCCAGAGATGGTGATTTTCCTCTGCCATTACATTTTGAAGTGTACTGTTCATGGACTTGATTGATGGATAAAGTGTAAAAATTGTTCAGAGCCTTGGCACAATAAAAAAGCATTGTGAATATGATGGGGACAGCATTGCATTTTGTCCTATTCAGGATGCAGAAGCTCAGCTGGCAGAGGTGGAGACCTCCCTTCAGACCCTGAACTCAGTCAGCTGCTCTGTGGCCGAGTATTTCTGCGAGGACCCCAGCCAATTCAAACTGGAAGAGTGCTGCTCCATCTTCCACTCCTTCTGTGAGAAGTTTCTGCGAGCCATGCAGGTAATGTATAGGATCATCCATTTTAAAGAAAGAATGATTAACAGGAAGTTCAAAAATTTACTCTGTGGTTCATGCGTGCAGCACTATTATCATCTTGTCTTTTTATGATCGTGTTTCTAGGAAAACCAGGAGCGTGAAGTAGCTGAGGTGAAGAGAAGGCAGCGTGAAAGACTGAACACTTCGGTTAAGCGCAAGTCCACAGCTACCTGTTCACACAGAGATAAAGATATGGAAGGTGTAGCCCTCGAGTCCATCTTAAACAGATTCCTTCAGAACAGGAGCTCTCGCCGCAAGCCTGGGTCTCCCTCTCCCACCGGAGGAAGCCTTCCAGAGATGATTCCCGCAAGTAAAGAGACAACCTCAACGGAAGGAAACAAATATCCTTTTGAGGATGTGGAGATGCAAAAAGATAGAACAAATTCAGCCAATGACCCAGCCAGGAACTCTAAGCATGGGGAAGTTCCCCTTCTCAATGAAGAGGATGGAGATAAAGGTAAACAAAGTGTAGGCAGGGAGAGAGTTATTTCTATTGCTGATGTAGAGAGCAGGAAGAGCAACCGTTCAGCAAAAGACCATGACCACCAAAACCCTGCTCACTTGGCTGGAAACATTGTCGGCAGCCCTGCACACAAGAAGTCCTCGGGGGACATAAGGCAGGAGGAAGAGAATGAAGCTCAGCATATGCGAGAGGTGTCCCGCAAGGTTTTACACTATCAAAATAGCCGAGGCAGCTTATCATCGGGGGAGTATACTTTTGACCAGGCTGGGGTGTGCTCTCCAAATGGGACCACCACTTCGTCACGCTTTCGGGACTTCCAAGATGACAAACACAAAGCTTTGTCTGAGCAGACCGCAGATACAACAAACAAGATTATTCTCAGCCCTCCTGCCTGCCGTTTTAATCAAAAGAAACCACCCCCTGCCTTGTCCCGCCGCCACACACTCAATATAATGCCCACAGCCTGCATAGATGAGAACAAGGAAGATGATCTCCGGCTGTTGTCTGGAAAGCCTGGCAAAACTCCAGCTCCTCCGATGAAGTACATTGGAAAGATGAAGTCGGCTGATAACTGGCAGTTTTCCCAGAAGCTGGAAGAGATTTGTGCAAAACAACATGGTATCGGCGTACCTGAAGCTAATTTTCCCAAGCCAAAAAGTCCATCACACCAGGTCACGGACCATCAGAGCACTTCAGCAAAAGAAAAGGAGAGGTTATCTTCAAACTCCCAAAAGGAAGATGCTCAGTTTCCTTCAAGCAAGCGAGTGGGGATTTTTAGGTCACGGAAACCGCAAGGCGAGCGGGACAAGGAGCGTGGCACAATCGAGTCCTCGTCTAGCTTCCGCCTGAGCGATTTCCTGCACAAGAGGTTCAGCCAGAAGACGAGTGAGGGCTCCATGAAGCCACCTGAAGTCGTCCGTGAACGCCAGGAAAACTCCAACATCTTCTCATTCTTCAAGCGCTTTAATGACAAGACAGTCAAATCCAGTATCAAGGAAGTGGACTATGAGGGCACGGACTTGTGACAACCGTCAAAGTAAACTTTGCATATTGCCAAATGACTGTATTTAAACTATAATATGGGGTGTTGATAATGAAATTTGGTTCGTGTTTACGTGACCATGACAACCTGGTTTCAAGCAGGTGACTTTAACTGGCAGCCAGTTCAAGCCTGAAAAGCTTTATTTATAAACTAGTTTACTTCTATTACTGGTAAATTATTTTGGATTTTTCTAAGTCTGTTATACTCATTTTGTTGAGCTGAAGAAAACATTTTTAAATTGGTGAGCATGCAATGTAAACATTAGTATAAAATATCTAAGTCCATAGAGGTTCATAACCAAGTTGTTTTTAGGTCCTGGTTTTCTCATCAAAGATGGCCCATGTGTGGTTTTAGAACTATTTACTTAAGCATGTTAATTTGAATTCTTTTGAACATCAGTGTTGAGCTTTTTCATGAGCCTTCAAATATTTGTAAGTGGACAAATCATAAGGGACTCAAGACAAAACCCCTTATAATACCTGCTTTTTTCTATCCCCAATTTTTTACACTATACAAATAAATAAAATATGGTTTTGAACCATTAATTTTGGCTGATTTTAGTCTATTTTATACATCCGTATCTTGTGACAAGACATGCACCCGGTAGGATTTTCTCAAGTTTAACAGTTTCTTTTGATTTTAGTTTTTTACTCCCCTTTTAATTATTGGTTATTACAACAGTGTTTTACAAAGCTAATCCCTGTAACAGCTCTACAAAACATCTAGTTATACACTCCTGCTATGAACCAGCCTATTCTTTTATTTTAGGACAATGCAACTTGTAGGTTTGATGGAGCTCAAACATGTTTGACTGGAGATACAGATCCCTGACCCTGTGAAATGTTTAGCTTCACCTAAACACAACAAGTAGAACCAAGTGTTTTATTTTCTGTTGAAAATGTTATGGACTTGATGGCTTGTGTAAAACTGCACCAGCTATACATGCAAGACATGCACTCTACTGTGAAAGGGTGATTTCATTTGCAGTGCGTCACCTGGAATAGAAAGAGGTAAATTGTTTCTTCTTATGTAGTGAACAAAGTACTCTGCAGACAGATAAAAGCAGCAAATTTAATTTGAAGTATTGTCCATCTGGTTTGTTTTTTTATGGCGGAGGGAAACAAACATAAAGAAAACGATAAATTCAGAAAAGTGATCAGAATGCATTGTGTGTTTCAGAATTCAAAGTGTAGTCCAGTCTGAAATGTAACCACAGAGTTCTGAGTGGGCCTGTGATGTACTGGATTCTATTTTGAGATATTTTTTTTTTTCCTTTCTGGTTTAGCTTTTCAGTACAGAACATGCAAGGTAAAAATGTTTACTGCCATGTGTTTTGATTTTGTGATTTGCAATGTTTGTTACACCTAGGCTGAAGACTGACTGCCAATTCACCAATACCTGCACCTGTGTAGGGAAGAGCCAGAGGATCGACAGTATTAGAATAAAAGGAGTGGACATGCAATGTCTGTGGGACGATAAATGTAGTGTTCACATGCCTTCCCCAAGTCTGCAGACATCTGACCACTGACAGGTGTCGCTGTTGGCAGGAAGCTTAGTATCCATACTAGACTCTGCATGAAGGATTTTTATGGAAGAGCCCACAAGCTGTTCATCTTTTCCTTGCAACTGTAAGTAGGCTGTCTTTCTTTTGAAAAGGTTTCTATTTTCTGCCTGGGTTTGATTGAAGGTTTATTGGCATATACCTCCATATTTTTACTAAATTAAAATTCTCATAAATAGTGTGAGCTAATAGGGTGGTTTCTGCCCCTGAGTATAAGGTTGAATGACAGTCTGATGCTTGTTATGGCTGGTATGTTTACCTTATATTATTAGCTTAGTAGGAGACAGCACCTAATTCAATCACACATTTTCAAAAACCTGAAATATTCATGTCTGTTTACCTTTTCCAAACATGCTGTTTGGTTATGAAACAAAAGGAACTGTCATTGTTTTTCAGAAGGAGTAGGTAATTTCTCATTGATCCACACTACTTAGGTGAGAAAAGCTTCAGTTGAACACCATCTTGTGGGAACATTTTAAATGGAAAAAAATGTGGAACCAGAGGAGAAGTCTATTTCGGGTTGAGAGTTAAAACATTGAGCATTGATGCTCATGTAGCTGGTTTTATTTTCTCCCCTCATCTATTATTGCTGTTCCAACTCTTGTCTGTGCTGCCTTCTCTCACAGGGTCTTTTATTGTGAGAAATGAGAGAGAAAGAGAGAGGCCTTTGCTCAGTTGTCATAGAAACGGTGTTTATTTACAGAATGATCTCATCTTGCCTGTGTCGCAGTGAAATAACACCCCTTGGATCAGCCTACTTTGAACAGGCATCCTTTCAGTTTGGATTGCAGTTGGCCTTTTTCTGGAAACTTAAATGGGCCACAGTTGAAAGTGATGCTTGCTGAAGAGAAAGACAGACGTGTTCTCATTTAACACAAGTTCACATTTTCCAGGATCTTTTTAAAGCTGAAGCTCAGTATATTCTTGCCTAAGTGTCATTCTTGCATAACAAAACCATTAGCTTGAGTCAAAAGTGTAAGCTAAATTAAAATAGATACTAGTTTACTGTGAAGAGTGCCTTTTGTAATTACTTTGTTGCTTTCTAACTACACTCACTCAGTTGAAGGTCTAGATCATCTTTAAGGTGAACAGGCAAAGCAACCAAATATGAAGAATCATTACTTGCTGGCTGATGTTTAGAGAACATAAAATCATTCTGTATCAAATCTTCCTTAAGTGGAATATTAAAGTCCTTTACCATTAGCCTTTAAGACATTTGAGTTGCAGTCAAACTAAGAAGGGATGTATTCTATAACAGCTGCTTTATAAAACATTAACATGTACTGTAGTGTCACTGTCTTGAAGTCACTAACTTCTCTATTTGTGCTTTTGGGAGGATTTGTACATACTGTAGTTGTTTTATTAACGAGCGAAGACTAAATTGGATTGCCACATGCTATTTATTACTTGGAAAGTTAACATAGTTTGAAGCTTGGTATTCCATCTGCTTTTGAAAAACACTGTTGTAAAGAACTTATTAGAAACAACGTATGCTTCAGATCATTCAGAAAATGAAATAAGTATATATAAATCTTGGAGCACGTTTTGGAAGCAAATTTCCTGAAGATTATGCTGAGGAATTTCTAGGTCTTCTGTGTCATGACAAGAAAGGTAGGCTGCAATACATATTGTGAAATTATTTACAGTACTATGGCTGTAGTAATTATTTTAAGTATTTTCCTGTGGTCAGCCAAACTGTTAATCTACGGCAAATGAGACCTTAAAAAGCAAGATAGAATGTAAGGATCCTCTCCATTTGACTACATTAACATGAAACATTTCCTTTCCAAACCTCTGTTTCTGATATTCCATGATCCTGAATATTTTTTCCAGCATCTTCCCACTTCTATGCATCTCAGTTAGTTTGAGCTATGTATTACAGTCTACAGTATATCTCACGGGCTCTTAAAGAACTCTCCTTCATGTAGTTCTGCATTAAGGGAGTCGGAACATATGTCTGATCCTAAAAATAATCCAGTGCTGTTAGATACATTTGCATGAATGTATTTTACGATAACACAGGTCATTGTGTATTAAACTATGTGCGTACATGTACAACTTGCAGGAATGTTTGGTGAGAGGATATCCGAGAAACAACTGGTTCAGCACCCCAAGAGTTAAGAGTTTGGCCTTTAGTGCTCCACAGCACTACAATAGCTTGTTTTTCACTGCTCGGCTGAATCTTGTTAAGAGCCTCTCCACCCCGGAGCAGGAATAAAATGACTAAGGGATCTGTGAGTGTGAAGGGGAAAAGGGGTTAGAAGACGACGAAACTACAGAGAGAGTAGGGAAAAACTTAGATCTGGTAGGATGGACAGTGCTCCATGAGATCAAAATTAAGAGGCACTGTGGACTATAGGGGCAAGAGTGAAGCAGCTTGAAAGCAGTAAAAACAAAAGTGGGGAAGATAACATACAGAATGGCTTCTTGGGGTAGAAGTGAGAGGAGTGACTGACCCATCGTGTTGTTCATGCCGGTGAGTAGTGTTCAAGTGTTAAAGGGGATGGGGGGTAAGGAGAGAGGTCAGAGGGCAAGGGAAGTAAGACTTAACTTTAGTGAAAGATGAATGTCAACCTGGCTGAAAGAGTTTTTCTTTGTTAGAGATATTTCAGTGTCTTCACAAGAGAAGGCCACTAAACTGACTGCTACATGGATTGAACTTTTACATTGACTTTTTTATCCATATTTTTGTAAAAAAAAATTGAAATATACAAATTATGCTACCCTAATAAAGGGCAAGAGGGCAATACAGTACATGGTTTTTAACTACAGGAAGCATTTCTGAGAAAAAGTTCTCTATCTTGAGGAAGGCATTTTGAAGGTACTGTACACATTATACTGTATTATACTGTTTTTTTCCCAAGAAACACAAAAGTAAACTAAATCAAATTATTTAAACTTAAGAACCATAATATATAAAATTGTCAAACATTTCAGAACACAGTGAACTTTGAGGTATTTGTGCAAAACAAGCATTACTGCTTTTGTTCATCTTCCACTCATTCGCTAGTACAGTAAAAAAATGCATTTGGTTCTGTATATTAAGGGAAATTGAAGATTTGGATGTGAAATATCCCATATTTAAATAGGGGAGATAAACGTACATGCAATTATCACCAAGGCATAATGAAAATACTTATGGTGAAAATCAGTAGTGTTTTAAGCTGGCTTTTAGTCCTGAAAGACTTTTATGTGTTTACTATTAACTGAATGCTGTTTATTTGAGACCTTTGATTATTTTGCGGCTTTTAACATACCTCCACTAGATGGCAGTATGAAAACACTTCCTTCGTAACAAACGTGACTTGGATGTTTTTCCGTTTAAACTTTTCACAGACTAAGGTTTATAGTGTAGTTTACTTAGGGGTAAATGGGGACTATGTATACAGGCAATTCTCTTATACAACTGAAGCAAATTGGATATTTAATTCATTTTTGTGGCATTTTGGTATGTGTTTATACATTTATAAAAGTGAGGTGTATTATAAAAGCACGTAGAATTATACAATAATATAAAAACTTTCACAGAAAGTCACTGTTTTTTTCAGACCACCAGGTTCCTGGTGCAAATGATCTGCCATGCAATTTGATCATTTTTTTTTTGTAGAAAAAAGAACAATAGTTTCAGATTGCCTTGAGATACATCTTTAAACATGTACTATACATGACACTGCTGTTAACATGTCTAAGATCTGATGCTACATGTTTCAATACCCTATAGTTTCTTTGTAGGAATATACTAGGAATATTAGTACCAGGAATGTAGTCTAAAGCGAATGCTATTTTTGCTGAAATAACCTTTCATGTCATTAGCTTTTAGAGCTGCTGACTAAAATAAAGGTCTCTTGGATGATCTGAAAATTCAGAAACTTGGAGACTGCAAATACAGTGGCTTTGACAATTGTTTTTATACCATCCTCTGCCACAAGATGTCGCCATGAAGAACTTGTCTGCTCAATGGTGAAGCAGTGCACTGTACATACAGTACTGTACACAGCAATTGAGTACGTTAACTTACTCCTGGAGCTAGAAGCAGTATAATTAAAAATATGAAATATAACATGTTTACTTCAGGAGCAAATATTTCTGTGACTAAAGGAAGATCATGATAGTAACACAAAATAGTTCAAGGAAATTAATATGCTGCATGAAATGTCATTATACTCTAATGCCTTATTCTTAAAGAAAGGCAGATACAAAAGATCATAGGTTTTAAAGCATTCTCATCCATGCTGGGCAAATTGTTTTTTATGTGCATGGTAATATCTTCTTCATGGTCTCAAAGGTGTTCTGTTATTTAGGTTGCATATTACCCCCATTGGTGTGTGTGATTGAATTCACAAAGAAGAAGTATCAGGACAGTTCTTTCAGGAAAAAAGGTGATTGTAAAGTCTAGCTGGAAATAAGTACAGGATGGCTTGGTAAGTATGACTTTTCTTTTCTAAATGAATGTAATGTTGCTGGTTTCTTTATTCTCCAGGCTAGTCTAATCTAATCTGCCTTCAGATGACAAAGTATGCCTGACAGTTCAAGGAGCTATAGTCAGAATAAGATATACTGTACGCTCTTTATTGTAATTCCTGTGGAAAAGTAAATTCTATACCAACTGTAGTTTTACTTGTTATATATTTACTGGGCAAAATTAAGGAACACACTGCCAAGTTTCTTGCTGTACACAGAAGCCTCAGTTCTCTAGAACAGACCTTGGTTTATATTCTGCAAGGTTCTGGACTTTTAGTGGCCTAATCCAAATCCATTCTTTTATCAGAGCGTTTTCAATTGAGGCTGTGATGTGGATGATGGTGTGTGAATAGACTGAACTGTCTATTTCACCTCTTAAAAATAGGATGAAAATCTAGGGATTGTTCTGGCCAAGTAAGGTGAAGAAAGGTCTGTCTCTTGTTTGTCAAGCCTACCTGACAGGTACAATAGGACAGCTTTAGATCATTAGGTAATAGTTTCACAGGGGCTTAATGGTATTTTGACTGAGGGCAAGTTCTTTAATGCTCTGTCCTGGAGTAACGGAATTATAAGCACATCACTGTCAACTTTCTTTCATCTGTGGGTAGCCCTTTTTTAAAAATCAGAAATGTGCAAACCTGAAGCAAAACTAAATTGAGATTGTTTCCCTGTACACATTTGGATTCAATTCACATAGTCATTAAATACAATCTGTGGAATATTTAGGCTCTTATTTTGTATTTCTTATTTATTTTTATTTCTTTGAGGATAACGTGAACAATGCACAATGTATTGATTTTGCTGCACAGAGTAGCATTGCCCTACAGCGGTAAATTATACTGATGGCTAAACAGTATGTTACACTAAATGTAATCTCAATGCCTGTTTGTGTAGGCCTCCATCCATGTGAGTTCTCCAGACACATATTAGCTCTGTTGCAGTCACTGTTCTTCTTAAGCTATATTTGAGCTAATTTACAGTACTTTCTTAATAAACAGCAAAAAAGTCAATTTAATTCTCCTTTTAATGGTCTTTGAAACATCTCCTGCTTTAGAGCCAGTTTTTCAGAATCTGAGCCGTAGGTGGAGATTGTAAGCTAACTGTCCAGATAATGACGCAAGCAGTCTATTCCTGCCAACTGCTGAAATAACATTTTATCCAACAAAATATTTTGTCCTAATTAAGACTGGAAACTGATTTCAAAGTTACGTCTTTTGTAAAAATGAAATCATTAAAAAAATATGGATTATATAATGTTAGCACAATATTTAAGGGGGGAAAAATGAACTTTAAGGGTTATAAAAGGCAAGTGTCTCAAAACAATTTTGGTACCAGTATTTTCCCTTGCCTTTTCAAACACAACAGTTATGTGCAGTGCCTTTGTGATATCTTAAAAAATGTTCAGTTTATCACTCAGTAATTTTTTTCTACATTGTATGTTGCTATTTAACTTGGCAGGATCTAAGTAAAAATAAGCAGCTCTTTGCTTTAAGAGAAAGTTATTTAGCTTATTTTACTGTTTGAGGCAAGTCTAAAGCATGTTTTTATACCCACTCTTGTGATTTTTATTTGCTTGATACATTTAACAAAACATTTTTAAAAAGTGACCTTATCAAAACATTTTGAAAATGAGTTACACAAAAGTGGGGATTTATTGACATTATTGAAAATCATGATTTTACGACCGTTCTGATGCTCATGCAAGTTGTCTGTCTCTGTAGACTTGATTTTTCCTTATTTATATTTCAGAAAGTTAAAAATGTTGTTTTTTAAATCTTATTCTTTTGCCCAAGAGTAAAAATTTAGTAGTTAAAAAAAATAAAACACTTTATACATAAACTTTTTAATTCTTACTACTATTTCTGCTCTTTTTGTCATCATTCAGATGATGCATTTTGGAAGACACTATTATCCAAGACATTAGTGTTATCTGTGCACCAGTAGCCTCTGCTGCCGAGTTGCTTAAAACAATTATGGAACTAATGCAAGGAGTCTTATAATGAGTCAGGAACACCCTGTTAACCATTAACCAGTAGATCACCCCATACAGCAAGAAAATAATGAAAAATTGGCTAGGATTTTAAAATGCTTTTGAGGAAATAGTAACAAGTGTTATCTGCTTGAACACATTGAATCTGTGCCACTTTTCTGTTCATTCAGTGTAAGTTTAAGTAGCATTTGTGAGTTTGCTTTATTTCATCTATAGATAGCCCATAGCTTTGTAGGTTTACATTTCTAACCTCGAAAACAGTAATTTTGCTTCCATAGAATGCAGGCACACTTTTAGAAGTTGTGTGGGAGAGCAAAAGAAAATTTAAGAGTGTTTAAATGTTGAACTTTTTGAAAGTGAGAGATGATATTGGCTGACAACCCTTGTTGTCTAATGTGTAGGCAGTACTGAAGTTGAGCCATGCATGAACTCTGTGGGAAGAGAACTTTCTCAATTGCAAGGTCTAATTCCAAAGCTGTGTTATTGTCTTTAAAGATTAGCCTTTGTAATGCTGCTTTGCTTTGTGTTTCTTAGTCCTGCTACACAAGATGCTGAATTTACTCTGCAGTTAAAAAGAGATTTGTAAGAAAGGAACAAGGTTAGAAGATGCACCTTCTTTTATTTCCAAATTGTGAGACTAATGTTTTTGCTTGGAACAACTGAGCATGTGTGAATCAGGAATTTCAGCTTTTAGAGGCTGTGAAGATCAGAGCATGATTCCTAAAAGAGAGATTTATATAGAAAAGTGGTATCTCAATCTGGCCTGATTTGTTCTGTGCTATGCAGAATAATATGAACTCTTCTAAAAAAATACAGCAAATTACTGCTTCTTTTGAAACCTGTTTTACGATGTAGCAAAAAAGCTTTAAAAAATTGGTAGAGCCATCAAAAAAAGGTTTTTATAAGGTGATTTCTTTTGCTAAGACAAGTACGATTATAGCTGAAAATGAAATGCAAAAATCGAAATCTTATTTGAGAATCGGTGTATTCTAAGGAACCATTCCGTGGTGCTTTCAAAATTGTCCACCCTTGTTGCCAAGAAACAGGTGCAACAAAGCCTAAACCACTTTGTTCTACTCTTGGTTTGTATTTGTGAATGTGCATTTACTGCTAAAGTTACTGGCTTTGTGAAAGATACTCTTGAGACAAGCAGAAAGGGGGAAAAAAGCATCAGGCTGAAGGGACTACCATCTGGACTCCAGTGTGCTGGATGCAGTCTCCATGGCAACCTCATCCTCTTGCAATAAAATCCTGAGATGATGGTTTCTGAGAACCCTCCCCTCCTCCCCATCACCACCCTCAGCACAGCCTCATTTCCACCCACACCCCTCCCTCTCTTTCTCTTTCTCTGAGCTTTATGGAAGTGCTTAATAAATGATGAATGAAATACAAATGGGCATCTGGAAGGCAGGATAACAGACACTTTTTGCTGGGGAAAAGAAAAAAAAATTCCTTCAGAAAATTCTGAGTTTAATTTTAATTTCTATAAAACACATGCACATTGACTATAGAACAACCCCCTTCCTCTTGACTCCATTTTCTCTCTCTCCCTCTCTCTGTCTCTCGCCTGTTCAAATATGTATGTCCCAGTTGGACTCCCTGCCCCTTTTTTCATGTCTCCTTGCTCTCTCACCCTTTCATTGGACTATCTGTGCATATTAATTAGCACCTTCCACTATGGGACTGGCTAGCCCTGCCAGAAAAAGGGAATTACATACCATCCTTCCTTGAAAACACTGCAGATTTTTTTTTTGTTGTTGTCATAGTCTTAAATAACACAAGCAGTGAATCCTGTTTTCTTCCAGCTCTCAAATTCTGTCTTCAATTCAGAGTTTTACAAATCACTTTCTACTGTCCACAGAACCCTTTTGCACAAAGCCAGGCACAGAAGCAGGCAGGCAGTGAGGAAGTGGTGCCTTTCTATCTTTTACAGTTACAGATATTTGGGGGCTGCAGAATTTAACTCCACTGCAGCACCAAGACTACAGCCCAGTGGCATAAGCAATATTGAGGATGCACCGAGCTATACTCCTCTCATTTCTCCTGCATCTGGCTTACGGATTTGGATTGGATACCAACCGTCCTCCCTCCCCAGTGTGACCAATATGCACACGTTCTCACTCGCGCGCACACGCAGTCTCACACATACACACACCCTGCTCTCCACAGCTCCCTCGCTCTTTCATTCCAGCCTGTCGCCTCGGCGGGGTTTTGTCTTTTGGGATGCGAAGTTCAGGACAATGGCCGGCCTGCCCTGCTTTCTAGGATGCTGACACTGTGTTAACCGTTTGGAATCTGATGTGAGTACTTAAATCCTGCCTTTTTTGTTCTCCCTTTGGACAAACTGTTTAGTCAATTATTACTAAACGAGCATGATTAATAATTTAGTGCAGCGTCTCGCCAGGCTTAACTGGCAGCTGTGCTTCAGAGAATCATTGAGGGCTGCAATTCAGAATCATTTGGTTCTAATGCCATTTTCTTGAGAGCTGCCTTTTTTTTAAAACGTGTTACTGTACGTGGACATCTTTCCATTTCTCCCTCCATCTATTGCTTTTCTCCTTGACCTTGCTTCTTAAGCCTACAAATGTTGACCTCTTGACTGAATCTGAACTTTATATGTTCTAAGGACTGGACAGTGCATTGTCATTTAGTGGCTGGAAGCTACAGTGGTGACAATTTACATTCGGGCAACTGGGGAATGTACGTTTTTAGAATTAGCCAAAGAAGCATTGTTTTGTATTTGTTAATTGGCTGAAAATGTTTCATTCATCAGAAAGTGTTACCTTTCTTGTCTCATTTGAATCGATCTTTCAGATTTCTGCCATCATCCATTATTATTTGTCCTTAGAGGTATCAAAAGTGACCTTATGTTTTTTTTTTTCTCCCAAAATGGCAAAACAATTCGTCAGCATTGCAGGCACCCACACTCATCCCCTTTCCTATCACGTACAGAGACAATGCACACAATTG